AGGAAGGTGAAAATGTAGGCATTAGAGTCCTCTTTATGAGTTAATAAAACATATATATGTGTGGAGTATATATTTTTTATTAACTCATAAAGAAGACTCTAATGCCTACATTTTCACCTTCCTACTATTCTTTTGTCCATATTGTTCAATAGTACCTACTTTTATTGTTTTTAATAGCAGTTTCATTTATTTTTTATTTGCTAATCATAGTTGTATAAATCTATATTGTATAAATCATAATTGTATAAATCTATGAGAAGCCGATGTGTTATCGGGGGCCAAGACACAGTGGAAAATTCTTGCTTTAATTAGCATTCTAAGTATAAATGATAGAAAGCTGCGTAGCATAAGAGCCTCGCGGTGCGGTGGTTAAACTTGCTGTACTGCAGCCAAAACTGTGCTCATGACTCAGGTTTAATCCCAGGTAGCCGGCTCAAGGTTGACCCAGCCTTCTATCCTTCCAAGCAATGTGTAGCCTGCATAATTAACTTGTAAATCGCAAATGGGGTTCTTGAATGCACAACAGCTGCAAAATCAATAGATTTACCTATGCTACTATTTTCTGTTATTTAAACTACTAAACTATTTATTTCCCCTTCAAAAGCCTTTATAAAATTCATTTTCCTATACTTTATTATATTTTCTGAAATGTCTACGAGCTGGGGTAAATGGAAAAATTAGCCATGCGTGTATGCATGTGCATATATATTTCCCTGGCAAGAGGTTATCATATTTAGTAATGATGTGATATCTTCCACCACCACCCCAAAGTATTATTTGTTTAATGAAAATTCTCTTTGTTTCCCACAAAATTCTGGAGACATTTTATCTGAGTGTGTACCACCACATTTTCCTCAAAATTAATTTATGACAGCAGTTGACTTCTAGAAAGGCAAATGGGAAGAACAAGAGGGTGTGATTTCCCTGGGAGAAACGAGATAACATTTCTATAGTGTACATAAAATAATGACCTGTCATCAAGTTAATTCTGATTTATGGTGATGCTTTTCAGAGTTTTATAAGTACACAGTATACAGAAATGGCTTGTTAATAGTGATGAGCCTTTTGCATTTGAAAGTGAAAGGGAAAAAACACAAAAGAGGCTCTTTTTGTTTGTGTTTGTTCACAACTTGCCTGTGCAAATGAGTCCCTTGGGATTAATATTTTTTAAAAAAAATCCTCATTTCTTCAGTGAGACTTTGTTCTGAGGGGCCTCTTGGATAGGCTGTGGGGGATTCTTCCTAGACTGGATGGTGTTGTCCTTCCCATCAGAGATCAAGTATGTAATCTGGGCATGCTCACGGACCCAGCTTTATCTTGGGATTCTCAGCTTATGGCTGTGCCCAGAGCTGCATTCATTCCACTATCATCGCCCAACTCCACCCCTTCTTGGACAAGGAGTCCCTCAAGACATTGGTGCATGCATTAGTCATTTCCCACATTGATTACTGCAATGCTCTCTATGTGGGGCTTCCCTTGGGTCTAACCTGGAGATTGCAGTGGGTTCAGAACGCAGCAGCCAGAATGGTGACTGGTGCACACAGATTTAACCAAATCTCCCCAGTCTTGGCTCACCTGTGCTAGTTACCTGTTGCCTCCCAGATCAGATTCAAGGTTTTGATGATCAACTACAACACCCTTCACAGTTGGAAGGGTGCTCCCTGTTGGAGCACCTTTTCCTAACTTCATCCACGTTGTCCATTGTGTCCACCCATGCCATTATCCTATGAATAGCCACTCCAAAGGAGGCCAAGAAATCCTCTACTAGAAGTAGGGCCTTTTTTGCAGTGGCTCTAATATTATGGAACCAAATGCAATTGGAACTATTCCTCGCCCCCCTCCCCCTGTTCCTTGAAAAGACTTCTGAGAATATTGCTGTACAGAGAGGCCTTTCTGGAAACCCTGCATTATATGTTCCAACTGCTGTATATGGTTACATGCTTGTGCCATTTTTCATTTTATGTTTGCGCCACTGGATATTTCGACTGTTATATTATTGTTTTTATTCATGCTTATTGTTTTAGTTGGCTGAAAACTACCTAGAATAGTGCTTTCACACTAATGTGGCAGTATAAAAAATAACAACCCCCCCCCAAAAAAAACCAAATAAAAACTGGACTTAATCTGTAGGCAAAGACTTAAGTCAAAAATATAGGAGCAAAATATTTTTAAGAATAAAAAAGAACAATTAAAAAGTTACACTATGACAATACAAAAGCGTATACCCTATAAAGACAAAAAATACATCCATAGAGTATATCGTATAAAAATAAAAGCATTATGACTTTAAAAGCCTTCCTGCATAGAAAAATATCCCAGTTCTTAAAATAAGACTATATAAAATAAAATGCATTATTTAACCTCTAAGTATGTTAAGAACCCCATTTGCGATTTACAAGTTAATTATGCAGGCTACACATTGCTTGGAAGGATAGAAGGCTGGGTCAACCTTGAGCCGGCTACCTGGGATTAAACCTGAGTCATGAGCACAGTTTTGGCTGCAGTACAGCAAGTTTAACCACCGCACCGCGAGGCTCTTATGCTACGCAGCTTTCTATCATTTATACTTAGAATGCTAATTAAAGCAAGAATTTTCCACTGTGTCTTGGCCCCCGATAACACATCGGCTTCTCATAGATTTATACAATTATGATTTATACAATATAGATTTATACAACTATGATTAGCAAATAAAAAATAAATGAAACTGCTATTAAAAACAATAAAAGTAGGTACTATTGAACAATATGGACAAAAGAATAGTAGGAAGGTGAAAATGTAGGCATTAGAGTCTTCTTTATGAGTTAATAAAACATATATATGTGTGGAGTATATATGTTTTATTAACTCATAAAGAAGACTCTAATCATCAAGTAAGCATTTTAAGAATGTACCACTCCACTGCACTACACCACACACAAACAAAAATATTTGTTAAAAAAGCTCACTCAGTCTTGTTGTTAGAGTCTATGGGAAAAAATTCATGATGATTGTTATTCTTTAATGTCTGGTGCCCCATGCAGGGTGGATTTGCAGTGATGCGATGAATGTCTGGATACTGCTCATTATCTTGCAAAATCAAAATCATTTTGAAAATAATGAAGTTCAAGCCACACTTTAGACAAAAATATTTGTTAAAAAAGCTCACTCAGTCTTGTTGTTAGAGTCTATGGGAAAAAATTCATGATGATTGTTATTCTTTAATGTCTGGTGCCCCATGCAGGGTGGATTTGCAGTGATGCGATGAATGTCTGGATACTGCTCATTATCTTGCAAAATCAAAATCATTTTGAAAATAATGAAGTTCAAGCCACACTTTAGAAATTAATTTGACTTTTAAAGCACTTTTTTTCTAGCACCTCCCATAGCCATTCTATTATTTTTCTAACCCTCTTAAACATCATCATCATCATCATCATCATCACATGCCATCAAGTCAGTTCTGACTTGCAACAACCCTTTTCAGGGTTTTCGAGATAGAGAATACACAGAAGTGGTTTCCCATTCCCTTCCTCTAGGGCTGTGGTAACGAACCTTTTTGGGCTTGTGTGCCCAAACTGGAAAGAAAAAAAAACAGCGGGCGGAGGAACAGGAAGTGGTGGTGGAAGGGGGAGTTCTGACCCAGGGGTGCCTCGAGACCCCACTTTGGATCCACCACCAGCGCCAGCTGCTCCGGATCCGCCTGCCAAAGTGCCAGCATTGTGGCTGCAGCTACCCTCTCAGGTTTGGCTGTGCGGGAGGGGAGAGTAGCAATCTGGCTCATGTACTGGCAGAAAGGGCTATGTATGCCAGCTGTGGCACGTGTGCCATAGGTTCGCCATCGCTGCTGTAGGGGCACCCTGGGACTGTGCAGCTTGCCCAAGGCCACACACAATTGAACTCCCAACTTTTGACTTCACGGCTAGATACCTAAACCACTGTTATCCAGCCAGCCCTCTTAAACAGACAAGGTATACCGCCTCTATCACTGGAAGTGATATTTAAACATATAAGGTTTCAAATCTTGACAGTACACTGTATCATTTCGAATGTTAGAGGCAGTATATCTCTGTAAATCAGTTGCTGC